TCCCTACTTCAACTAGTACTTCAAGAATTCATAACTTTTGGCCATATAGCCATCCATTCCCACTGACTCTGTTTCTGAAATTATTTTGGAATCTGTTCCTGGCCTTTCTGTTCCCCCTGTGACTCTCCTAGCCTTTTAATAATTCTCACTTAGATGTAATAGCCTCTTTAACAATCATTCTTTTATATATTTGCTTCATCCATTGATAAATTTAAATAAATTCAGACTGCCCGTGGCATGTGTCTCTGAGAGTATGGGAAAGCTCAGCTCGGACTGCAGCTCTCTTGAATAGATCCTTCAATATGCTTTGGTCTCCCATCCCTTAACATACTTTTCCTGCTCCTAACACCAGTCACAGACTCTCCTGGCTTTGATTACCTGCGTAGACATGCTTCTCTTTCACCGTGTGTTCTCTTTGACTTAACATCATTCTTACTCGTAAACTCAAGTATTTTCATTGCCTCATTCTGGCTATGAGTGACTCATTCTAGCCCACTAGCCTACTCCTCAAGACATGGAGACCAGGCAAAAATCTTTCATGAAGGCATCATCCCAACACTCAAATTATAATGTGGTACTCTCTGATTCCGGTGCCAGCAGCAAAATGTTACTGGCTGTTCAAGGTATTGGGACTTGGCTGGGTAGGAGGCACAAAGGACCTTTGGCGACAGAAGGCTGGTGGGAAGGAAAACAGAAGCCAGCTTCTTGGGAACACCCAGCGCTGGACTGGAAGGTTGACTGGGAGTTGCTGACCAAGTGTCAAAAGCAGGCTGTGAGAAGGTTATCAGGGAGGCAAAGGCAGGAGATGTCAGCAGTCTGAGCTACCTGGAAGCAGAGGGCACGGTAGTCAGCCAGGCTGGAAGCAAATTACACCCTTCAAATTTTTACCTTTAAAAGCATGCATATAACCCTTGCTGAAGACTCCATTCATTCCTGCAATAGATAGTTAAGCACCAATTATACACAATGCACTGTGTTAGGTATTGAATATGCAACAGAAAAGGAAAGCAGGCATGGTGACTCCTCTGGCAAGCTTTGATAAATAACTTGGCATGCACTGTTCTTTATTGTCTTGTCAATATTGGAATAGGTTTTGAACCAGTAGATGTGGCTTTGAGCCAGCGCATTTACGCAAACAATTCTCAGAGGTGCCACAAATTTGTGGCCAAGTTAACATTATAGCCTCCATTCCTGCTCTGGAATCATGACACAATCTTTCAACAAAAGAAATTCTTCACAGGCAAATAACAAAAATATACATTGGTGGTTTCTGAATGTCTTGAATTTTCCAAGCAGTTTTTTTCAACTGGCCATCCGCCTATATTCAGTTCAAAAAAACCCCAAAAACTCCAACCTGGAATCTTGGATAGTTAATCATCACAACACAGTTTTCAACAATACATGAATGAGTTTATGCTAACTGTCAAGAGTACTTGGTGACCCAGCAGGAAATGACTTCATTCTGTTGAACTTGCTTCTCACAGCAAGATTAGTAATTAAAAAAAAAAAAGTCTCTTGAGAAGAAACTAGTTACTATCACTAAGAATCAGTGTCCAATGAGGAAGAAGATCTACATAAACAAGGAGGCATCTCATATTCTTGGCTTGAAAGATATACGTTGTAAAGACATCAGTTTCTCCTAAAACCAGCATATAAATTTATTATGGCCCAATAAAATTTTAATGTCATTCTTTTGGAACCCAGCAAAACAATTTTAAAACTTGAGAGAATTAAAAATATGCAAAAAGAGCCAGGAAGACCCTAATATGGAAGGATATTGGGGAGGATTTTGCCAGTTATTCAAACTGCAGTATTTACTCCTGATACACTGCTGTAGGAATAGACAGGTGATGAATAAAACAAAATATGGAGTACAGAAGTA